AACACCGTCGTAGAATTGTGTGGGAACTTTGAAAGGCTCAATAACTTGTAAAAGCTTTTTTGCAAACGCTTCGTCATGCTTGTATTAAAAACAAAAAAAAAAAATGAAGAAAAAAGCCTCTGACCAGGGTCACTAAGCATTATTTTGCAATTTGAAAAAATCTCTAAGGCTTTTCTGATCATTCGTTTTCAATTTTTCGTGGACTGTAGGTATTAAACAGATTGAAAGGCTCTCTACCGTTTTTCTTTTTTTTTTTTTGTTTGGTCGTTTGTCTTGCGCTTATAGAATCTGTATAAATCTTAAATACTGATATTTAAGGCACAAGAAAAACATTTAATATTTAATTTTTTTTTTGTTTTTTTTTTTTTTGTGTTTATTTTTTAACAATAAATCAGATAAACTAAGTTATTAAATGTGAGGAGTATGTGTTAACTTGACAAACGACACATACAAGTGTTGGTAACTTAGCAAACAGCAAACAGAGCCCATTCTTATGTACACATATATATATATATAAATATATATATATCCCCTATGAGTGTGTAAGAAATTCAATTAATTTTTATCTCTGGTTAACATTAAACAGCAGGTGAAGCAATTATATTTTCTTATAAATAATTTTGGTTTCGTTTTTTTTTTTGTTTTTCCTTTTTTGAAAAACTACTTTAAGAAATTTTAAAATAGTTTTTTAATGAATTTAATAAAATTTTTATAAGAATATAAGAGAAACGGAGGCGCCACAAAACATTTTCGCAGATAAGAGTTTAATTAACATTTAAAGTCGAGCTCGTTTTCTTTCTTTTCTTTTTAATTTTTAATATTTGGGTTCACCCCCCCCCCCCATTTTTCCATGCATTTTATTTGATTTCATTTTTGATGAATTGCTAAAATAATAATAAAAAAAAATAAAAAAAAAAAAGAAAAGAAATAAAAGTTTAACGGAAATGAAATAAAATGTTAAGATCGCAACAACAATAACGACAGCAGTAATAACGACCAAAACCAATTCCAGGAATATATCAAATAATGAACACTTTAGCAGCAGTAACAACAGTAAAGTGGAACACAGACCAGAATGCGAGCGGTCTGATCAAAGCGAAGCATAAGGAAATTAAAAAGAGAGAGAGAGAAAGAGAAAGACAGATATATATATATATATATATATATATATGTATATGTAGAGAGAGAGAGAGAGAGAGAGAGAGAGAGTGAGGCAAATAAAAGAAGAAAAAGATGAAAAATCCTTCCAAGTTATGGAAATTTAAACTTTACCATAAATTAAAGAAATTTTACTTAATTAAGTTGAAAAAAAATTATTCAACAAAGTTTTCTACAGTAATCACTTCTGTTCATTTCTCATTTTCTCAGAACTGTTTGAAAACAGCCGGGATGGGTTTTCTTCTTAATAAAGGGTCAGCTTTACATTACTTACTTACTTACTTTTCAATAGCTCAGCGAAAAAAAGACAAAAAAAAAAAAACAGAAAGATATGTGCACACATCCCTAATCGTTGTGTATGCTTGCATATATGTTTGTTTGTGTGTATATTCGTATGTGTATGTGTGAGTGTGTTTGTGTATTTGTTGAGTATGTTTTGGTTGGGCTGCAACAATTGAGTCATAAAAATTTATTATGTAAAACTAATTTTTCGAAATATACTTTTTTTTTTCGCTTGTGAACATTTTTTTTTTTTTTTTTATTTTCTGCGGTTGTTAAGCATGATGACGAGTTTAAAACTGTAAGAGACTTGTTTAAGATTTTTAAAGAAAAGAAATGCAGAAAAAAAAAAAAAAACAAAAAAAAGTTTAAAAAGAACCGCAAGCATACATATATTACGCTGAGGATCAGAGTTTTCAAAGAAGGCAAACATTTATAAATATTATGTACCGAGCAAGTGAAGAAATCTTATTCACCTTAAGGCGAATCTTGAATTCCCATCACCTAGTGTACGTTTGTATTCAGCGCGGTTTGACTGCGCTCTTTATTGGGAAAATAATATTTGACTTTCTTTTAAGCTAATTTCAATCCTATCCTCAATCCGATTCATTTTCCAATATAAATTAAACATATATTCTGGGAAAAAAAGTCTGCTGCGTAAATACCAGTACGTGCGCGAACACATATCAAGCATATTATGAAGAATCGTTCAAAAGATTCGTTCAGATGGGTCCGTGACGTAAATAAAGTTTAATGGAACATAAAGGGAAGAACGTTTTTTTTTTCTCCTTTTTTTTTTTTTTTTTTTTGCTATTGTCAATGTTTGCAGGCGCTGTTGCACCGTTAACTAGAGAGTCCGACCTTAACTAACACATTTTGAAAATGTATTGTGGAAATTTTAATTCTCCAAATCGAAAGAGGTTGCGACGGGGAATTGAGAATGACGGGATCAGTTTACATGGATCAAATTAAAAATTTATCAAACCTGAACCGCTTTATATGACCTTGACGTCTATAAAACTTTTAAGAAAATGTTGTTGTTTCAAGATATTTACAAAATCGGATTGCCATTACTAATCGGTATATTTTTTTTTACTACAAAAAAATATATATGTGCAAGTATACAACAGTCTTACCAGACTAATGTGTATTATAAATCAAATGGATCCGTCTGAGTGGTCGAGTAGTTAAAGGATTGCAATCAACTACTCCGTGATCGTGGGTTCTTCGTGGGACTCGCATCTGCAGTAGAGTTTTCATCAGCTTAATACTTTCTATTATAATCCTTAAATGTATTAAAAAAAAAAGGAAAGATTTTTATGCTTAGTTTCCTTTTAACGAGTATTCTCGTTCACTAAGGTATTCGAAAGGTTCATAGCTGAAACATCAAGCAACCAAAACTATAACTACCCGCATCTCAATACTCAACATCGTTTTCTTCATTCTTAGAGTCGAGCATCGGTGAGAGATTCACATAGTGGCAGTGATTGCATTTACGCAAATATGATAAAAATGCTTTGGGAGCTTACCCCGAGCTTATGATTGAGCGAATCTTGGCATCGATGATAGCAAAGTTGACACAACACGTACACAAATTATAGGTTGGATAGAATCGTTTCGGATAAAGGGATTTGCAATTAACAACACCGTCGTTAAGAGTACTGGCGCCAAGTCGATTTAGCTACTTTTCGAGGTTAGACAGAATAGAATAATAGGTGACTTTTTGAAGAAGGAGGAAACGAGGTTGCAAACAGCATTCAAGACCGAAAGCAACTTGACGTGCATATGGAAATCCGCAACGAAAAAGACAATGAAATGTCAAGAATTTAATAAGGATTTCAAAAGCCATTGTCGTAGTCATAGAACGCACAATATTGATAATTATGTAATAGTGAAAAATTTTATGAGTGAACCTGGCGCTTGTAAAATGATTATTCCAAGATTTAAAAATCCCTATAAACTTGTTAAGCTTTCTTGACACATAGATAGGGCCGTGAATAGATTTCAGACAAGTGAGATTTCCTATTAAATAATATATGAAAAGCGGAAAAGCCGGAAAAGCAGCCACTTTATTTGGCCAAGCAGTGGCAAATACAACTGTATAATGGAATAAGAAGAATAATTTTTCAGTTATAGAATGACAATAAGATAGGCTGGCTAAGCTTTTTCAGTCTAAGCGAAACCGTCAGCATTTGCTGACTAATAAATGGAAAGCAAAGAAAACTTAAGAATCTATAAATGTTATTGCAAGCAGGTATTCTGTGCTTTTTATCGTTCAGTTCTCTTTACGTATCATTGATCCTTATGAGTGGCCAAGTATGTAAGAATCGCACTCATCACGTCAATGTTCGCGGACTCAAGTCGCAAATGCGGCCCACTATACTATTGTCGTAAAAATAGCGAGTGCTAAGCCGGTAAAGTCCTAATACTTACTTACTAGGCCATGGCTAGTTGGAGGTATAATTGGAATAAGGGAATTTCAGCTTTGACTTTAACCATCATTAAGCATAAGTTTCTCTACCTCGAGGTGGCATGTCTTCACCAGCGAGACATTATTAACGAGCCATCCGCACACACGGCTTGATATTGCGACTGCTGCGGAATCGGTAGCATAATTTAAAAATAGGACAACAGCAAATATGTATATTCGTACAAGCTTAATCCATAATATCGTATCCTTTTTTCGTCTTATATGATCCCTTTAAATATTTAAGAATACCTTACCTTAAGATTTTTACTTTACAGTTTTTAAAATTCGCCTGGCAGTAAATCTCTTTATTTTTTGTCTTCTCGATACCATATCCCACTCGCGGTACCAGAGTATATTATGTTTGCACGGATGTGTTTTGGCCCAAGGACTTTCAATAGCGTTCGTCTTTGGATCAAAAACACCTCAGGATACGAAATTTAAAAAAAAATATATTGAAAATTGTGGCCTATAGCTTGAATATAAGAACAAATGACGGACAGACAAACTAAGACCAATTCACTGGATATAATAAGAGATAAGTCTTCTGGGTGCTACAAACGTCCGCAAAAACTTAACCTATAGCCGGTGGAGGGTATAAATATTGAGCAATGCTTCCCTTAGACACCAAGCAAACTGGGCCACACTGAAGTGCACTTGAAAGGCGAATGTCATGAAATGTTGGGACATTTAGTTTGAAGGCTTATTGAGTTATGTGATACATATATATATATATATATATCCGTTTAATTATCCGTTTGTACGATACATTCGGCCAAATTGAATTTAAAATTACATAATTAATTAGTCATGTGTGTGTGTGTGTGTGTGTGTGTGTATGTATATATATATATATATATATGTATATATGTTTATATGATAACAAAGCGAAATGAAACTAAGCGAACACTATACCATTAGAATTTTATTAAATAAAAATAAATTTCGTTTGCAAAGGCATTTTGTAAAGCAACTTTTATGTTTTTGTTTTTTTTTTTTTTTTTTTTTGTTAATAATTTATAAAAATAAAAACATTTTTTTTTTTCACAATAATTTATTCTTTTCTTTGCAGAGCTTATATGCAAATCAATGGAAATGAAAAAAATTTATATATGAAATTATTGGAGAGGAAAAAAAAAAAAGAAAAAGGAATACATAAGTTAATAAAGAGTAAATATGCAATAATCAAAACAACACACAGCACCACAGCAACAGCAACAATGACAAATTATGAGAATTTATTAAATTTACCATTAAATTTTAATGGAAACAATGACAAGAATGTGTGTAGTACGGCTGATGGTTTAGCCAATTCCAATTCAACACATGATGCCATAAAAATGTCACAACGCGAATTCTCTGAGGTAAGTTGGAAAAAAAAAATAAATAAAAATAAATAAATAAATGAATAAAAATAAAAATGAAAATAAAAATACAAAAAAAAAGGGACGGGTTTTGTTTCCACACAACACAGCAAACAGCAACAACAAGCAGCTGCTTGAAGTTTTGTTGTACTTCTGTCCGTTTGAGTTTTTGTGCTTTTTGTTTCTTTTTACATTTTTTTTTTTTTTTGTTTTTTTTTTCATTTATTTATTTTTTTTTTATTTTTTTTTCATTTTTTTTTTTTTTTTTATTTTATTTATTCTGTGTTTTATGTGCGTTTTTCTCTTTAAACATCTTATCTGTGTTGTTTTTATCAGCACAGATATTTTTGTTACAAATTAAAGACATTATTTAAAAAGTCTTTAAAAAGGAAACGAATTGTCATAAATTATAGCTGAAAGCTGGGAGCTAAGGATAACGGAGGGGGACACAAACAGCGGCCACAAGACACACAACACACACTTGTTTTCTACTGATTTCGTTTACCTTTTAAGCTTTGATGAGATGTTCTTATGTAAAAAAAAGAAAAAAAAAAAGAAAAAAAAGTTATCTAAAAAAAAAAATAATAATAATAAGAAAAAAACAGTCAAACTGTATCCGCCTTTAAGCGAATTTTAGATACGCGTACCAATAAATATATTGTGCTTATATGTAAAAAGTTTAGATTTTTTTTATTTTTTTTATTTTTGTATTCATTATAGGCGTGGCCGCACAAAAAGCCGCATAAATATTTGCAAGAAATTTTGAATCGATTTTTTCGAAAGCTTATAAGTTATTACAGCAATAAATATATTTTTTGTAATTTTCTCTTCTGTTTTGTGTTTTGTCATTTTCATAAAGACAAACCTCGATACCTAATCATTCATTCTTACTTTTTCGACTCTTTCTTCTTCTTCTTCTTCTTCTCGTTCTCCCGCTCTTAGGATTCAATAAAATTTACAAATTCATGCAAGCGATAATAAAGGTTGCGTCTATCTTAAGCCCTTCTAAATGTTACATAAGACGACACACAAGCTTAATATACTCCCTACCATAAGTGGGATATGATAAAGAAATAATTTTATGTCTACTCTTGACTTCAGCTACCGAGAGAATGTTTTTTTAATGCTTAGACTTTAACGCGTAATTCTTATAGGGCTCTAATAGTCAAGGTCAACTGAATCGATCGATATAATAAAGATCGAGTGTATGGTAACTCCTTCTGCATATTACACACAAACTTAATATATAATTCCCCGTATCACGGATGAATACGGATGAACGAAAATTGGACATGGGAGATGAACAAATGTGTCCTTTATTTTTACTAGGTATGTAAATGAAATCGAAACCTACCATCATGTCATAGACGTTATACAGGTCTGTGAAATTGTGTTTGATGTATTATATCCTACACCATTTATGCTCAGAGAGGCTTAAGGTAGACGCAACTTTTAATATACCGATCAATTCAGTATGCATTTTCTATATCGGTCTAAGCTTGCCGGTCCGTCTAATGTCCGTCCATGTATTTTTGTGTTCAACCTGCAGGTCACTATTTTGGACATATTTTGATAACATTTAGTGCGCGGATGCATCTTGATCCAAGGTCGAATGCTATGGGATCGGTCCACTTCTTCGATCACGTTTCATATAACGCCTCATTCAAAACAAGGTTTCGTTTTTGATATTTCATGATGAAAATTAGACCATAGTAGCAATTTAGCAAATAAATTAATGGCAGAGACTTTGGACCACACAGACCGATCTTATAGACCCCGACATATACAGGTGTTATCATGAAACGTAAACTGTTATACGGAGAAGAAGTCTAATATTTAGTCTTTTGTGACGGAAAGTAAAAATAATAAAATTATTAGGAAGTAAACACATTTTGCTGAATTTGGATTACATCAAGTAATGTTCTGAGCATTTTGAGAATAATGCGGGCTTTCATGAAAATAATGAGTAATGTTTAGTGTACTATTACTAAAATCAATGCGAAGCCGGTCTTGCCCGGCTATAATGTCCTTAGTTGTTTCTATTTATTTTTTTTTTTAAGTTTTAAACATCTGGCAACAATCAGCGCTCGTAACAATAATAATAGATATCGTAACGCGCAAATATTTCTTCTAGCAACAACAATGTCAAGGTTTATTTATGCTAAATAAAAAGCATTCGACAATTTTTTTTTTTTTTTTAAGTCCAGTCACTCAATAATATTGCTTATACGTGTAATGCCCTGACGGTCAGAAAGAAGCGGGAAACGAGAAAGGAATATTAAATGCTGCGCCTTTATCAGCTGAGAATTCACTATAACTACAACCAAATACGCTCTCAGGCACATTGATAATTGAAACCGTAATCGCGATTCTTATCTACTCGTCTACTCATGCAGGTATGGCACTTTTTCTTTGCCCGAACGATAAAAAAGAAACGGAATCTGAAAAATGGACTTATTTTTAGACATCTAGATGTAGATTCTTAAGTAGATGCAGGTATATCAACAGGTAAACAGCTTTATTTTCGCATGGCATCCAAGAGTCGCGATCTTGATGGGCGATACACCGAATAAAATATTTTTTATCATTTGCATACACAATAAACATGTATTTTCTACATGAACATCCCAGCTTCATATACCGATCGACATCAATTGTTAGTGATCGAGCAGAGAGTGAATATTAAGTTTAAGATTTTCGCAGTCATTGATGTGCGAAATATAAGCTCAAGTTACGCCATTCTTTCTTCGTACAACCCCGTTTTTGCCATTGCGCAAATGAAAACGCAAACTGAATTGAACATAGAATTATTTATCATATTCATAAGGTAATGAAATTTCGTATGCGTTACGGAACTTGATAAAATACCAGTTCCAAAACTCGGCACTCGGACTTAAAATGAAACTCGAATGTTTGCTTAGTGCGTAAATTATCGAAAATACAATGGCAGAAAGTATCTGCCTAAGTATTCAAAATTCCTATGAAAATCGAAACAATAAGGGATTAGATGAATAGGTGAAAGCTTGAGCAGGTAAATGGCCCAAAGATCAAATAAGTTAGGGAGACGAGCGAATAGTTAAATGAACGATCGTATATAAAAATAAGGCGATAAATTAATGGACGGACTCATGAACGGACGCTCTTATGGACGGACGGATGATGGAATAGAAGGATATGCAAATAGACGAGAAGGAAAAATTAACATGCAAATATATATTGTACTCCAAATAGACGAGCAGGATATTCATATAAATGGATAAAAATACGGACGCACGGAATGGACAAACATAACTAAATTATTAATGGCATCTCACAGAATAAAATATCCGACCAAAGTAGTCTAAAGTCTATAGCATAGTTAATATACTCCTGTTCAGTATATATGTAATAAGACTAATTTATTCACTTATATATAATTACGATAAATTGTTCGCTTAATAGTATGGCTAAAGAAAAATTTACGGATAATTCGGATAAAATTTTATAAATATTTTAAACCAAAAATTTTATTGTCTTCACGAACCATACCCAAGGCACAGATAATTTGCGTCACCATGTAAATGTCCAACTGACTGTCAGAGAATCAACAGGAAAAGCAATAACAGCAGCAGCAGCAGCAGCATCAGCATCAGCGGCAACAGCAACCAACAGCATAAACATGTAAATTCTTGATAAAATAAAATATGCAACTAGACACGTAATGAAATGCCATTTAAAACACGGACACGGACCCCGAATACAACGTTTAATTATATAATTGTTTCGGGGCACAGCGCAGAGAAAGCTTTGAGTGAGAGTAGAGAGGAAAGCAAGAATTTTTATGCACATATGAATATATGCATATATATAAATATATATATATATATATATATATATACATATATATGTATATATACACTTGTGAAATTCTTTAAATATTTTTATTACAAAAATTTAATGGTTTAATGGTATTTTAAATGCTCTCTGGCAAGAGACATGAACAGATTTGTTTCCTCTTTTAGAGGTTTAAGGATAAGCTGCAGAGCAGCTACCGCCATTACACAATAGTTTACAAGCAACATTACTCTACGACTTCTACCAAATTAGGAAATTAAAGCTTGTTATTGAGAGTGCATAACTTAAGGTAAACGAGCGAAAGAGAGAGAGAAGTTGTGTGTGTGTGTGTGTGCGCGTGTGTGTGTGTGTGTGTGTGTGTGTGTGTGTGTGTAAAAAGAAAAGGATAGAAAGAAAAAAGGTATTAAAACAAATAAGGTACGAAAGAGAAGGAGGCAAAAAAGAGCTTGGTGAGTATTTAAAAATTGTATTGAGTTAGTACAGCATGTAACATGAGTTTTATATAGCGAATGGGCGCCAATTTTTAAAATGACATCAAAACTACTCAGACTATGTTGCAAAGCAACAATACATCGCCGAACAGTAATAGTAGTAGCAACTATATACAGTAAAAAAAAAAAAAAAAGAAAAAAAACAACCCAAGAAAAAATACACAAAACATTTTGTTTTGTATTTTTTATTTTTATTTTTTTTTTTCTTTTTATTCATGATCTACGAAGAATTAAGAGAAATAACAGCAAGAAAATCCAGCAAAATCATAAGCTTAGTTTTTAGCTTTGCTTGTCGTTATACCGAAAAAAATAATAAATAAATAAAAAAAAAAAAAAAAACAAAAATCACAAAAAAGGGCCGACCGTGCCGACCATGATAGCATTGTTGTTAAAGTAATGTCTAAAGCAACAAGAACAACAGCAACAATAACAACCTCAGTGATACAGGGTTTGAAAAAAAAAAAAAAAAAAAAACAAATAACAAAAAACAAAACGAAAAAAACTACGCAAACAACAACAACAACAACCATTTGTAGACTGAAAGACATCTACAGACAGCGATGTATGTGACATGACAGCGGAACATGATGAAAGGATTCCTTTTTCTTTGGATTTGTTAGCAATTTTTTTTGTTGTAGTTTTTACCTTCTTTTTTTTTTCTTTTTTTTTTTTTCT